GTGTGTCCCGGGCGGGGGGGTGGGGTAGTGGGATCTCCTCCCTTAAGACCCGCTCAGCACGTTGGGAAAAAGGCACGCCGGGGTCGTGGGGGAGGTAGGATCGCTTTGATTCGAGCAGCACCGGTTCAGAGAGCTGGAAACAAGGCGGGCAAGCTTCTGTGGGGAGGTGGGATCCCCTTTGTTAGACCCACTCCACTAACCGGACAAAAAGGCACAGCAGGGTCTTTGGGGGGATGTGATCTCTTGTATTAGACCCACTCAGATAGCTGGAAGAAAGGCACACAAGTTCCTCTGGGAAGATGTGATCTCTTTTATTAGACCCACTCCAATAGCTGGAAAAAAAAGGCACACCAGGCTCTTTGAGGAGATGTAATTTCTTGTATTAGACCCACTCAACTAGTTGGAAAAAAGTCGCACCAGGCTCTTTCGGGTAGATGTGTTCTCTTGTATTAGACTCACTGAGATAACTGGAAGAAAGGCGCACAGGTTTCTCTGGGAAGATGTGATCCCTGTTATTAGACCCACTCAACTAGTTGGAAAAAAGGCACACCAGGTTCTTTGGGTAGATGTGATCTCTTGTATTAGACCGACTCAGATAGCTGGAAAGATTCTTCTTTGCAAGCTTCCAGGTGTTTGTACCCAAAAAATGGCAAAGAAGAATTTTTCCAGCTATTCAAGTTGCTCTGATAGAAGGCATCACATCTACCCTAAGAACCTTGTCTGCCTTTTTTTCCCCAGCTATTTGAGTTAGTGTTGGTTTAATAAAAGAGATCGCATCTACCCAATAAACCTGGCAGGGGGGTTGGTTGCAACCATGTTGGTCTAAGGAAATAGGCAGGCAAGGTGTTTTGGGTAGAAGTGATCTCTCTTATTAGACCAACACCAACTCAAATAGTTGGGGGAAAAAAAGGCAGGCAAGGTTCTTTGGGTAGATGGGATCTCTTTTATTAGACCAACTAAATAGTTGGGGGAAAGTTCTTTGTGTGCTTTTGGGCACAAACACCCTTCTTTGGGCAGTGGGAGACTGTTGCTGTTAGGGAGATCACATTTAGCCAAAGAAGCTTGTCTGCCTTTTTTCCAGCTTTTTGAGTCAGTCTAATAAAAGAGATCACATCTACCCAAAGAACTCTGTCTGAGGCTACTCTTAACAGCAGCAGTCTCCCAATGCCTGAAGAAGGGTGGTTGTGCCCAAAAGCTTGCAAATAACGCTTTCCCCCAAAGAACCCTGTCTCTCTGTGTCCCCAAAGGGACCTCAAGGGGCCAACCCCAGAGCATCCCCAACTAGATCATCCCAGCCAGGGCTTGGACTAGCCTTAAAAAGCTCCAAAGATGGAGATTCCGCCATGCCTCTGGGCGACCGGATCCAGTGCTTTGCTTCCCATGGCATGTAGGAGAAAATTAATAAATAACTGAATTAAAAGGGGGAGGGGAGAGGGCTAATAATGGGGCAGCTGGCTTGGAAGGTCAGTGAGGTTGCCTTGGGTGTCCAGATCCAAGTGATCAAGTTGTAAAATTCCTAGAAAGAGGTGAAGGAAGCAACAGCCCCCAGTAGATACTGCGGATCTAGGATAATGGGAAATGTAAAAGCAGGGCATAAAAGAGAGGGTCATTGGTGCATCCCCCAACAAGAGATGGGGTCATTGGTATCCCCTGCCAAGAGATGGGATCAGCAGTTAGAACAAAGCATTTGGAGGCCAGGAGCTTGAGCAGAAACAAATACCATCTGCCCCTTTGTTGCACACACAAGAGGGCAGAAGGCATCTCTGCCATCCCCCTTGTGTGGCTGGCGAGGGGCAGCGTTAGTAGCACACTGCTGTGAGCAGGCCCCTGTGGAATGTCCACAGCCAGGGAAATTTGAGAGGCACCTCCAGAGTGCATGCTTCGCTCTGCCCAGATGGCACTGGCCAAATCGGTGTGGAGCGTGGAACAAATGCTTCCCAGGAAAGCCTGGGAAAAGGTTTTGGACGGCTGTTCCTTTGGAAGCAGCCTGGCCTTTTTCTGCTAGAATGTGTGCAGACTTTCTTTTTTTTTTTTGGCTGGCCTCTCTTTCCCTGTGTGAGAGGAAGTGGCAGCCAGGGTGCCCTTTGCTGGCTGCTACAAAAGCACAAGATGCCTTCCTATAATTATTTCCGCACTGCTCCCAAGCTGTGACAGTTTGAATAAGGAAGCGCTCAAAAACTGCAGAGTCAAGTTAAAAACCTCAGTGAAACACATGGCTGCCTCCACCCTGGAACTCCGTGCTGTTAACCCTGCTTTAACATAACTCCAAAATGAGAGGAGTCTGCCTCCAACGGTGTGGGACTTGGCACAGTGTAATGACTGGTTGTAATTATTTTTATTTTCTAAGTAACCAAGATGGGGAGGGAAATGGGCTGATGACTTCAACTTGGACTCAACAGTTGAAATCCAATTTCAACCGTAGCCTAAAGAGTTAAAATGTTAAAGCTGTATTTGTGTGCTCCATACTCAGCCCAAACTCCTGTTGAAGTCAGTGGGAATGCTGCCCATGTAAAATGCTCAAAGAAAGTCTCCTACTGTTCACATTCAAGGAATAAAGGCTGGGAGTGAGAAATGAGTCACATGTAGTGCCTGTCTCTTTAAGACTCTCCTAAAGTTTCACTCCTAAATCCAAATTTCAAGTCCAGACCCTAGCATCCAGAAAGCTCTTTAAAAATAAGATCAAATCTTTTCCATGTGTAGAGTTAGCTACAACACCATGTAAAATCCTTTGTGTTGTGTTTAAATTACAGGGAGTGCTACAAGCTTTTATAGAGTGGCATATTTTATATTGTCATATTCAGGTCAAATTTACAAGGCCACTAACTTGCTCAAGCTAGATCTTTTTGGCTTTTAAACAATTCATAACTTTTTTAACAGCTGAAAATAAAAAAGGGTAATAATGCCAATTAAAGCCAAAGTAGTGGTATTATATTCATTAATACTGTTTTGTTAATTAGCTAACTAAGGAAGACAAGGAGAATATCATACAAGGTACTAGAAACCATAAGACTATGATAGGAATGCATTTTCTTTAATAAATGTTAACTGGATCAGCTATAGGACAGAATTATTTTTTTGAATTTTTATGCATGTCTCACACCCTTAAAGTTGCTAACATATTTTTGAATCAGTTCCAAACTCTGGAAATGATTGAGTCATGGTGTACATCTGCCCCCTTCTGGTGGGAAAAATTCAAAATAAGGGAAGTTATTGGAAGTATATTTAATTTAGATATCTAATTTTAAAATGATTTGAAATCGTATTCAGAATATGAAATCTTTTTTCAAAGAACTAACTAGAGGGCAAAAATGTACAAATAATAGCAATCGTCAATTAAAGTTTAAAATAATCAGTAGGTAGTAATAAAGGCATTTCTGCACAGGTTGCACCAAATTATTTGTGAATATTTCATAGAATCATAGAAAAGTAGGCCTAAAAGGGGCCTCTGGAGGTCATCTAGTCCAAACTGTGTCTGAGACAGGATCATCCCTATCTTATGTGTATTTTAAAGAGAAAAAAACACCCTTTTTAATAATCTCTTGAGTTTCAAAGTCTCAGCTGAATTTTTTAAAAATTTTTATCTTTGTTGAATTTATTTTATTTGAAGGAAATTCCAGTGATTCAGAAGAAGACCAGAACGCCAGTAGCATAGAGAATCAAGCTATTCCCAACTCTCACAGAGTGTCAGATTCCAAATCTCATCAACACCACACCAAAATAGATATCATCAAGAAAGAACAAGCCAAGAATACTCAGCGCTATAAAGTGGAATATGATTCACAAAGTACAGACACATTGAATTTCTCTTCTGAATCCAAACAAGAGACTGAATATGTAAGTATTTTTATAACCCAGAAAGATACCTGCATTGCATTACCCCCCCTTCTGACCCCCCCCCCCTTTTTTCACGGTACATTTGATGAGATGAATAGAAACCCTTATGATGGTGATTGTTGTAGCCTTTTAAGGAGTTCTGGCTCTTTGACCAGTAAGTAGAACTATTGGTGTTGCAGATACAGAGAGCTGGTAGAGCATATAGGTTAGATTTTGAGAGTAGAGGGGGAGACGTTTTTAATATGACTTTCAGTAATGATTCTTGGAAAGTAAGGGTTGGATCATACTCCACCTGTTAAATGCCTGAGTGATTTTTATTCCGTATCACTGCAGTTCCTGGAAATGCATTAATGCTTCTATTTTTGTAACATGCTATCATCTTATCTTTAGAACTTAATCATGAAAAAGCAGTGAGGAGGAAGAAGATCTTACTCACCTTTAGCCTTAACAGTTTTCAGGTGGTTGAGTAGGGTGAGATAGGAATACACTTAGGTGCCTAATTAAATAGTATCTGGCCATACAAGTCTTTGTTTTACCTCTCGTGGGAACAAATTGCACTCAGTATGAACAGATGCAGTATAGTCTATTGATTATTTTTTATTACACAAAGGCTAAAAAGGAAGTGTAATGCAAAAAAGCAAAAAGACTTTGCACTCAGTGTAGTAACTTAAGTACGTGCTGTGTAGAAAATTATGGTAAGCATGGGACTGGGCCTTAGCTTTTGATGGGTTTTTCTAGTGCACACAAAACAGTATCTAGATTTGTGGTGATTTCTCTGAGGCAGTGTAAATGCAGATAATGGCTGAGGAAGACACAACTTGTTACCCTTTCTTAATCTGTCTATACAATATTGGCTAGACTTGCAGGGGAACCTGGAGAGAAGAGATTTGAGCAGAGCATACTCTTAGACAACCTGGTTATGATCATGTCAGTGGCAACAGGCATACAAACTATTACTTGGCATACTTTGGCACTTCATCACAATACCCACAACTGATCTACACATAGCTTTCCATCTACAGAAAGAAGGATACAAACCTGGACAAGGTAGAGTTGTAAGTGGAGATAAGAAAAATCTGCAAGGGAGTTTGAATACGCAGAAAAATCAGTCTCTGAAGGCAAAGGAGCCAGATATTCCAATTAAAGCATGTTGCTTTCTTGGTTTTGGAATGTGCTAGTTAAAAAAAAAAAAAGTTGGGGAATTGGGAGGGGAGGGTGGAGAGAGAAAGATCAATGTACAGCAAAAAATAATAGATTCTTGGTCTATGACTAGTCCTCCTAGGACCTGTATAGATAATAACAGAAACGTTTTTATAAGGACTACTGAACTGCATATCTCTCTTCTTGCTTTTACACACAAGGATTTTTTAAGTGCCTTAGAAGTCCGTCTAATCAGTGTCTAATGATGCCAATAGGCATCTAATGTTGGGGTTTTCATAATGACTTAAGCACCTATACCCACTGATTTCAGTTCCCATTGAGTTTTTAGTATGGCCAGGATTTTTAATATGAGAGGACTTATGGACTTAAGCAAGCTGCTTGCATGAGTAAAGATTGCACAGCCTTATTCTCACTGAGTAATGTTGGACCTTTAGTAAACAAATGTCTTTATAACTATGCATATGTTTACTCTTGATCTTGATCCCTCTAACTCTTAAAGCCTATTAACAACTTAAGGTTTTTGCTGTTTTTGTAAACCTAACAAAGAAATAAATCTTTGAAAGTGTAGGATTTGCAGTCAGTTTGTCTGAAGAGGGTTGTTTGTTTAAGGAATTGCCAATAAGAGCAATTTAAAGAACATGTTCAGATCTGGGGAGATTGATACTAAGAGCAAATATATGAAAACTGTAAAGAGGGTATTTGCCAAACAAAGTATTCAATTTTAAACATATGCAAAACTGTTGAGTCTATATGTATGGAGAACCTCAGATGAAAGACACCTTATGTGTGCAAAGTATTAATGTTACTAAAAAATACAAGTATCATTGACTTGAACTAATTGAGAGTTGCACCAATGAGTCTTTGTGTTGATACAGCTACTTAAAACTATGTGCTCATGCAAGGAATTCTTTCAGGTCCACATTTTAAAATTGAGCTGGTGGAATAAGTCAATAATATGCACATGCAGATGTGCAGTTTAAGCAAGAGTTGTAGGCAGTAATTCCTTAATGCTAATCCCATTGCTAACGTTAACTGCCTCTTTGCCCTCTGGTAAATCACTTATACTTTCTGCTCCAGTTCTCTCAGGTATAAAATTGAACTAATTATGCTTGCTGCCCTACCTCAAAGAGACTGTACTGAGGAGTAATTAATTAGTCTATGAGACAGGGTTTTTAAAAGTGCTTCTCTAAGTGCTTTTCGTTGCTAAAATTTGTCCAACGTTTATCCTCACAACGCTATCACCTTTGTTTTATACATATATTAATGGAGTTGTTTGGTGGGGGGTTTAATATTTACTAATAATAAGATAAGAGACAAAGTTTGAGCAAGGGAATTTCTAAATGTGTTCATTGTGACAGGGTCCCTGCCGTAGAGAAATGGAAGACACATTAAACCACCTTAAGATCCTGAACGTCTTGAGTCCAAGAGGATTCCATATTCCAAACTGTGACAAGAAGGGATTCTACAAGAAAAAGCAAGTAAGTAATATTCCATTTTCATGTGTATTTCAGCTCTTCTACATCTTTATCTATTAATACTAAGTTATTTTAAAAATTGGTAATAATGTTAATGTACATTAGAGGACATTTTGTTGAAATGCTAAAATTGGCCATAAATTAGTACTTGGTTGTTTAGCACTGAACCATGTCAGGTGTGGATGGTGTTTTTATTTGCTGTCGATCATGACAACAGATGACAACAGAATCTGAGAAACCTCATACCTAATTACACGTGGGTTGTCCACAGCCCTGGGTACTAGTGCCCTTCAGTTTAAAAAAAGCAAATCCTCTGTCATAACCCACAGAGCTAAATGTTGCAGTAACCATCTGACTGTAATAGATCAATGCTTTGAATTGTAAATAGCTGTTTGAAATTTCCTAGAAGAACTGGGTTAGGTCATATTACAAAAAGCAACTTGAGAAGCCGTATATCTGTCCTTTGTATACTACAGAGATCACTTCCAAAATCCAGGTCATGTTATCACAAAAGTGATATGCTCAGTATTTACTCTGCAGTAATGCCAGTTCTCAGATGGATTTGGTTTTCCATTTCCATTTGCGTACAGGGTTGTGACCTTTCTTCACAAATGTATACCACATTCCAGCCATCCACATCTTTGTTTCCTCCAGATTAAGCTGTAATGCTCTGCTTAGCGCTGCCCTTAAAGTGCACTCAGAAACTTTGGCAAGTACAGTATACATCAGGCCCCCTGCTTAGTTCTATTCTATGTACATAGAACATAATTCCAAGATTTAGAAGATTGCATTGGCTAAGAGTGTGTTTCCTGGTGCAATTCAAGGTGAACCTTTTAGTCTACAGAGCCAAATAGCAGGCAGGGTCTTCAGGTTTTCTAAAAGGTAGACAGCATACTTAGCCTACTTAATTTGTCAGTCTACTTGCCCCTCTTATTTGTGATTACACCAGAGCATCTCTCCCACAACACGCCTGTTATAATTAAAGCAGCAGAAAACAGTAATAAGTTCCCATTCAGTGGGTGCATCTACATGTGCATCCAACTGCACAGTTGTTACTGCGCAGTTGTCATTTAGCAAATACAAAATGACTGCACAGTTATTGTCTTTACTGCACAGTCCCAGCAATGCATGGCTTGTTTCTGACCCTGTTGCACAGTAGCAACAAGCTGCTGCACTGTAGCTCGTTGCTACTCTGCAGTAGTGTTAGCATCACAGTTCACGTCCACCGATACTGCATTGCTGTAGCAACAAGTTACATTGCCCTGCCTCGTAGCTACATTGCCGTACCTCATAGCTGCAGCGACATAGCGTCTCGTGTAGACACACCCAGCGTGTCTTAGCTCTTTTGTAAAGTGGTTTTATCTGCTGGGAGTAAAGAGGGTGAAGTGACCAGCTGCCCAGACTTGGGAACCAGTGGTCTGTGGATTTTGCTTTAAGACTGGAGCTCTCTAACAGATGGATCCTGGGTTTCATAGGCAGTATTTCCTTTTAGGTTGCATCCCAACACCTGTGGATTGGCTGATGGGTGTTTGCAATGGGGGCCTTTGGTTCCAGAATTCACTTCTACCATTTGCCTGACTGCATATTTTGTTTGATATTAAGACTGTGCTGCAAAGTTCATGCATTCACTTCACTTTTTCTGAGCTGGTGAATATTTTCCCAAGCAGGACGAATTTCTTTTATGGGTTGGAGTTCTGACTTAAGCTGAGACCAGTGTTTGTCCCAGGATATTTTACCTTGCTGTAAATTAGCTAATGGTAATATACAGATCTCCATCTGTATTTATACAAAAATGCTGATAATATCAGTGTGAGTTACTTCATGGTCTGAGCCCAGCACAGACCTTCTGGAGTAGGAACCAAGACTTTGTGTCTGTTCTTACACAAGTATTTAGTTTTCTTGAATATTTTAATGGAATATTAATAGAATTTCATAGAATTTTACTAGGATAGATATGAATTCCAAGTGGCATATTCTTTCAGACCTACCATAGTTCTTGTGCTACTATAATTCATAAGGAAGACTGTAGATCAAGATTTAGCACTAAATTTTAAGGTATGTTTTTGAGCTGCAATAATACTGCCACTGGGCATCTCTCCACTCAGGAAAATGATTTTAAAATAAATACACCTTTGTACTAGTCTAGTCTTCATTCATAGTGATTTATTTCATAGGTGAAGGTCTCAGGCAGGGGCAGCTGCTTCCTTGTTGAGTGTAAACTGTAGTGAATGTTCCACAAGAGGACTTCAAACTGTATCATCTGGATTTAGGATGGGTTTCTTGTGCTACGCAACAACCCAGCAGGTTGGCAGGGGATTGAGAGGTGCTTTCAGATATGCTCAAGTCTTGTGCCAAGGGCTTATAATTTAATGGGAATTTTAAAAAGCACAGAACCTTGTAGGAATGGTTAGCAACCTGTGTATTGGTGCATTTATTGAGCAAAGGTAAAGCCAGCATGAGCAAGTTTCCTACCTTAAATAAAGACCTAGTGATACCATCTAAATGGATCTATTCATAGTTTCATAGTTTCTAGGGTCGGAAGGGACCTGAGAAGATCATCTAGTCCGACCCCCTGCCATTGCAGGAAAGAGTACTGGGGTCAAACGACCCCAGCAAGGTGTTCATCTAACCTCTTCTTAAAAACCCCCAGGGTAGGAGCCTGCACCACCTCCCCTGGAAGTTGGTTCCAGACCCTAGCCGCCCTGACCGTGAAATAGCGCCTTCTGATGTCTAACCTAAATCTACCCTCTGCTAGCTTGTGACCATTGTTCCTGGTCACTCCCGGCTGTGCTCAGGGGAACAGTGACTCCCCCAATGCCTTCTGATCCCACCCCCTGACCAGTTTGTAACAGGCCACAAGATCCCCCCTCAGCCTTCTCTTGTGGAGGCTGAACAGGTTCAGGTCCCGTAGTCTCTCCTCATAGGGCCTGCCCTGCAGTCCCCTGATCATGCGAGTGGCCCTCCTCTGGACCCTCTCTAT